GAGTTGAAAGACGATTATTGAAAACACCTTCAAATTCCAACATCTAATTAAGCCTATTTTGATATTTACATACGCCTTCCTCTACAATAACTTTTTAAGCTTTAAATTTCGTTTATTTCTAGCTTAGATATTACTTTGCGACCCCCCCCCCATGTACAGTGCGGCCATAAAAATAATAATAAAACAAACGGACTGAATAATTTTGGATCTAATGATTGGATCTTCACGTTCTAGGACTCCAATCATAACGGTTAAAGGGGTGATCTGAAATATGCTAATTAATTAGTGTAGACGATATTTTAAATTACGAAATCAGATACAAAAACGTACTTTCTCTGAATAAGCATACCTCTTTTTCAACTGATTCGGGTTTTTAACCCCCAAAATATGGGGTTAGCCGCAATCTGGGAACTATGGTCCTAATCGTTTGGCCAAGAGAGCGGTCATAATTTTTGACACCTTAATGTTAATTTTATTTTCTGAGTATTTCGTCATATCTCGAGAACGTTTCGAGAGGATTGAAAAATGTTTGCACACAATTATAAAATTCGTCTCTCCAATGATAATTCCATGAAGAAAAAATTCTACAAATATTTATTATTTTTTATTATTTTATTTAATGATAGTCGAAAATTTTTAAATTGTAAGGTATAAAATTTTTTTACATAATTTTTAAAGTATCTAATTTCACATGGCAAAATACAAAGTTTGAACGAAATCGGTTAAATGACTTCTGAGAAATCAAATTTTAAGTATACGAGTTTTTCAAAATTCGATTTCTCAGGAAATATTTACTTGTAAAAACGCAGTATTTTAATTTTTTATACTATTATAATATAGTTTACATACTTTTTAAACGTTTAGCATGGAAGACAAATAACAGATGAAAATGCTCGAACATATATTTTTATAAAGAATAATTTTGTTCATTTTGAGTTAATTAGATAAAGCATCTTAAAGATCTTAAGATGCTTCTTTCAGTTAAATATACCATGACATTGTTGCTGTAATTGTTTTGTTAAGGTGAAGTAAAAAGGTTATGTTGCAGAAATTGCTTATTGTGCGGGATGGCAAAAAATTTTTACTACTACATTGCATTACTTATTTTGTGTAGGGGATTGCTTTAAGATGCGTAGCTCGAAAATTGATTTTACTAATTGAGATTCAATTAATTCTAGGTTGACATTTAAGTTCTTTTCACATTTTTAATTGATAATTTTTATAATACAAAAAAGAAAAATAATAATAATAGCGCGCACTCTTTTAGATGGAAGAAATTCTTTAATAAAGGAAAAAAATCTTTCAAATCCTCTTCTCTTTAAACTAAATACTTTGAAAACTAGCTTTATTTGTAGTTATATGTTAATTATTTAATATAGATAATTATTTAATATAGATAATTATTTAATATAAAATATGTTATGATTAAATATAGTTAATTTTTGTCCCCGGGATGGAGACCTAAATTTTTACCAGGATTATACAAAATTCTAGAGTCTTCACCCCAGCTCGTTATTGCTCGTCAACTACCGAAAATGCTGACGCAGGTACTATTAGGCCGCGCAGTTCATCTTTTCTTCTAAGTCATGTTTAATACCACAGTTTTTATACCTCTATATATTATATAGAAGTAAGTAGATTTTAATTACATTAAAGGACACGGTCTCTGCTTTTTATTGCTTACCCTAAGAACTGTTTGCTCGGTTCTTTTCGGATAGCTTTGCTTGCTCTTTTTACCTGTTCAGTTCACCACGAGAAAAATTATCGAGAGAACGGCAAATAAATCAAATTAGCCGAGGGGATTGAGATTAAATTTTGTAGGAAAAGCAACTTTACAATTTAATTACTCCAAATAAATTAGAAATTTAAACGCATTAAGAAGTATTGTTCGTCACCAGCCATTAACAACCACAAAAAAAAAAATCATAATATCCTTGTTAATGGATTTTTTCGTCGAATCTAAATAATGCGGTGCAATAAAAAGTCTTCAAATTTGATTTAAAATAATTCAAAAACCAATCGTGAAACTCTGAACTGGTTAAGTTTGCTTGTCGAAAAATTTCTGAAACAACTGTAACGGCGACCGTAACTTTTTTGTTAGTTCAGAGCAGTGTTTTCCAAAGTGTGGTAAGCGTACCCCCAGGGGTACGGGAACAGTTAATGGATGGTGTTTTCTGTAGAAATGTAAACAATAACAATCTCGAGCTCGGGCCCTACTCTAGTTCCGGTTAAAAAGTTTGCAGCTGCTTACTACATGTTATTCTGATAGGCGATGTTTTCAAACGGATAATTTTGTTTTCAATAAAAGAAATAAATTAGATAATTTCTGAGCTCAAATCTGCCGTATTTCATAAGATATTAATGTTATTATGTAATTCTGGGGAGTTTGGAGTGAAAATTTGTGTTAGTTATTTTGTTATTTATTATTAAAAAAGGTGACATGGTTGCTAGATTTTGAATAATTCGCTTTTTTGGCAGTCTTGGTTTGGCCTCTTTCCATTTATTTATTACTGTTTGTTCGTGTTGCAAGCTGTGCACCATCTTACGTTAGTGTTAACACTTTTAGTATTGTATTCACAAGTATTGTTATCATTGTAAACATAAGTAATAAGTAATCAAATACATTGCTTGCAAGAATCCCAAAACACAATGATGCCAAATGGCTTTAAAATACAACTGAAACAGTAACCCGGAAATTTGGGCAGTCCCGAGCTTGCAGCGTTCCCTAGTGTAGAAAACACCATCCATAGGGATACGCGTTCTGATGCGAAATATCTTGCAACAAACGAAAATTTCAAAAAGTTTTATTTAAAAACAAAGCTAGCCATGAAAATGTAGGATTACGTATTTTTCTATTGGCTATTTTTTGCAGAGTTAAGAGTTAATAACTAAAATCTAATATATATAATTCTCTTACGTGGCTCCCAAATTTGTGCTGTATTTCTTTTCCGCCGGTGGCAACGTTTGCTTTGTTTTGTTTACGTTACTATTTCTCTTACACGGCGACAAAAAAAGCCTCATTACAACTCCCAGAATGGCAACGCTAGAAAATCGACCAATGATTGCCGCTAAAAATGTCACATGCCAAATCTAGCTGAGGTGGCTCAACATATCGCGCTTTTAAAAACGGAAACTGAAATAACCAGAGAGCATCAGCTGCGGCAATCTCATACTATTAAGCTAGGCAGAAGTGAGTAGTCTTTGTCGATAGATCTTTATTTTAGTATTTTGTCGAAAGAGCTTTTTTTTCACGAATTTTATATATTACGAATTTATTTGACGATTTTTGATTTAGATCACGAATTATACAACAGCACATTTCTAATAGGTTTAACGAATTACATGTCATTTATTTGAATTCAAATTTATTTTAATGACTTAATATTTACTAAAAAGATGTAATTTAAAAAAAAAAAAAAGCTTTTATATGGATTTGAATTATTGTTTTGAATTCTTAGAATTTTGTGCATTTGCAATGTACCTAAGTTAGTAGCGAGCGAAGCAAACCATATAAGATTGCGTAGCAATTTTTGGTTGGTTGGCGAGCGTTAGCGAGCAGGGGGCGCAGCTCACTAGTATGTTAATAAAAATAAACATATTTTTTTTAAAAAATACATTAATTTTTTTTATTTATTAGTGGTACACAGCGTTACGGAAAATTTAAAAAGGGTACACAAAAGTCATAAGTTTGAGAAACACTGGTTTAGAGGGACGAGATTGATATTAAATTTATTATGAAACATGTTGTTCCTTATCTGAATAATTTTGAGTATGAACCTTAATTAATAATGCGACTGTTATAAATTAGAAAAAGTATTAAATATCTGAAACATAATCATCATATTACATATTATATAATGATAAGGCTGACATTCTGGTGATAATCGATTTTAACAGCTTTTCTTAGAAAATATACCTAAACTTAATAGCTTCCATTTTAATATAATTTCTTCTGACATACCCTTTTTCAATTAAAAAAAACATACTTATTTTTTCCAAAAAAAATCCATTAATATTAAAAAAATAAAATTTGAGGTATAAAATATCAAGAAGAATTATGGGGAAAATATTTATGCAGGTCATGTCTGAAAAAGGAATGGAAAGAAGAAGAAAAATTCTCCCTCTAAATAGCTTTGAAAATCATAAATCATTTCATTTCGAAATAAAGCTTTCTAAATTATTTAAGCCTTTATTCTAGATTTCACTTTTTCTGAGGTTTGAAAAAATGCATTATTTATTCAAACGATTGTCATTATAGTTATAAAGATTTTTTTTCTTTCATAATTATTGGAATATTGTAGAACAAAGAAAAAAGTTGTGTCAAAGGATTGAAAGTTTGTAATAAATTACTAAAAATGCTTCTAATATCTTTAAAAAATAAGACTAAAAATCCAAATTTTAAGGAACATTTTCCATTTTTCTCTTTGAAAGCTTTGCTTTTTTAAAAGAAAATGAAAAATGTGCAAACGATTTCGAGAAATCGTTGTCTAAAAGTAAAAAAGAATGGATTTTGTTTTATTTTTTCAAACATTTAAACTTTTAGATGTTCAATTCTATTTCTTTCAGACTGATTTTATAAGAAGTCAAAAACGTTTCTTGCGTAAAAGAAATATAAAAGCTTCTGGGACTATCATTTGAACTTTTTCATAAAAGGTAGAGTTGAAACAAATATATTAACACGATTATTTTAGTAACAAAAAAAAATATGTGAGGATTGTTTATAATGTTTATTTTAATCGTTCTTCTTGACTAAAAATTTATAATACCATGTCACATTTACACTTAATGTAAAGTGACAAATTAATTTCTAATTTTACTTTAGCCTTTAATTTTTCTTTAAACGTTTTCCTTTTTTCCAATTTGGCAATTTTATTTTTTAACTTTCTTGTTGACCTTTCTCATGGTCGTTGCGGTCATCGCACTTCCTGTGGGGAAAGTCAACCAACCCCTCTATTCACGCCTTTCTTTTTTTTCTTTTAATTTTAGGGGGGCTAACTAACCAATCTCTTTCCTTTAAATTTTAAACTCTCCTCCTCTTTAAATTTAATTGGCCGTAATTTTTCTGGTCCTATACCAGTTAAGGAATTTTTAAGTCACTTTTAAAAATACATTCTTTTTTGTGGGCTTCTTCTTGCAAGTTCCTTTTTTTATTCTCCGCGATGCGGACTTCGGTCCGTATCGAGGGGACAGTTTTTTTAAATTCTTTTTCTTAACCTTATTTTTCTTTAAAAGTTTAAATCCTTAATTGTAGTCAATTTCAATAAGTCATACGTATACATATTATATCTTTTTTTTAAGCATTAAAGACCTTCTTAAATTAAGCTTTCTTTTCAATGGTTAAATCTTTTTTCGCTTTTCTTTTTTTAATGCATGACATCATTTCTTTCGTCACCCATTTCTATTAAAGGTGTTTCTACGGTTAAAAATGGCTTTAAAGACGTATTGCCACTAGTTATGTTGTTAGATATTTTTCTTGAATAAATCTTAAACGCAATTTAAAAATGTGTGTTTCATTTCGTCTCTTGATGATTGTCTTTATCTTGTCCTCCAGTATGTGTGCGGTGAGTACCTTTCATTTATTGTTATGGGCATGCATAAGTGTGATTTTATTAGTTTTTCTTATTGGAAACATCAGCTTACTGTTAAAATCATTTATATTGTTTGGATATAGCATGACTTTATCGTATTTATCATTAATCTTTAATATATTTTAGTTTCACCCTTTTTCCAAATTTGGTGATACCAAATCATCCAATTTGTTCAAACCTCACACTTTGTGACCCTTTGAACCTATTGGGTTATTGTTATCCCACATTAGCATTGTACTACCACTTTCCTTAACGATCACATCCCCTTTAATTTAATTTAATTACCCTGTTATATATTTCGGCCTTAATTTGTTTTATCACGACGTTTCAATCATTTAACTATTTTTTATCATGACTATATCCAAATACAAGTACCTTACCAATGATTTCAACCCATCTATCAATTTTGTTACATAAATAACTTTACTTTAATTCGCACCAAATTCAATTTTATTTAACTCTTACATACCAGCTTTTCACTTTTTGTAAATGAAAAAATCTAGGTAACTAAATTTTATTGAATTTAGACCACTTTTACCCACCCAGTTTAGAAAAGCAATTGTACTCCATAGTTTGTTTTAAATACATTGTACATAAAAAATTTTATAAGCAAAATTAACATTCAGTTAATTTTTTTTTTTGAGATTTTCGGCAAAAGTAACAAAAATATCAGAATTTAAAAAAGTAAAGTAATGAAAAATTTAAATTATATTTAATTACCGAACAAATAATTAGTAACAAGATGCAAAAAAGAAAATGAAAGAAAAAACAGGAAACGACAATTTACAAACTGATTGGACCAGGATTGGACTGATTGGACTGACTGACCAGGAGAGGATTTTCTGCAATTTTCTGAATCGTAGTCGCATAGCAGAAGTTTTAGTTGCATAGTCGATAGTACGATACAATATCCGTATTGTCCTAAAAATCGCATAATTAAAGTAGCGTAACAGTTCTAAGCATGCAATTTTAGTAAATTTAATTTTATTTTTTAACGTAATATGTGAAACGCAATTCAAAATACACATAAATAAATGCACTAGTTCAAGTACAACTCAGTTGATTAATTTTTAATAAAGTATAAGGATTTTAAATTAAGTAAACGCGTCAAAATTCATTATAAATTCTGAGGTTTTAACTAGGAAATTTATACTCTTCTTAAGACAAATACATTAGTTAAAGAAATTTTTTCAAAAAAAAATGTCTAAAACATCCTAATTAAACACGTCAAGATTTAGTATTAAATTCTTAGGTTAATATTTCGAGATTAATATTCCTGTTAAGAAAACTGCATTTCTAGAAGAAAAGGATATTCTAGCGTGTTATTTCGTCAAAAGCTTGACTTTCGTTGTCGTCAAAGCAATTTGTAAAAATAAGCCAAAAGCAATTGAAAATGATATTTAAGCTTTGTTGTTTAACTTTCTCAAAAATGATTGAAATCTATTTTTAAACTCAATGATGATTCCTAAAACTTCGCAATTTTTTTATTTGCTGAAGAAAAAAAGAAATAAAAGGTTTATATTGATTGTGAAAGGATAGAAACTTGAAAGTGAATTTTTTTGTGGTCAATTGTATATTGCACTAAAAAAGAAGAAGGAAAAAAAAAAACGATTAAACTTGATTATCTTTTGATTTAATGATCATTACCTAGTAGGACTCAGTCTTAATAGTTCGAGAGGATGATCTCAAATATGCTAATTAATAAATGCAGACGATATTTTACATTACGAAATGAAACACAAAAACGCATTTTCTCTGAATAAACATTTCTTTTTTACGACGAATTTGGATTTCTGACCCTCAAAATTTAGGGGCTGGTCGCTATCTGGAAAATATGATCCCAATAGGATCATATATGTGTAAAATCATATCAGTATAGTTGTACAAACTTTGAACCCTTTAATGTTACTTTCACTTTCTTCGTATTTCTCTAAATTTCGAGATTTTTTAAGTGAATCAAAAACTTTTGCACAATTATAAAATTCATTTATCCAAAGATTGTTCCACGCAAAAATTAATTTTTAATAATTATTTATTATTATCTTATTTAATGAGTTTGAATTGTACTCCAACTTTTAAATCAATTGTATACAAATTTGTAAACAAATGTTTATATAATTTCAAAGAATGTAATTTAATATATCTAAATACAAAACATGAACGGAATTGGTCAAATAGTTTCTGAAAAATTAAATTTTAAATAATATCTGACTCTGATATATAATTATATATATANTTGAGTTAGTTTCATGAAATTGCTGTTTGACCAGTTTACTGTGAGGTTTTGTATTTTCTTTTTTGTATTATATTCTCAAGAATTTGTTTGAAATTTCTCTTCTGATTTGATTTTATGTATTTCTTGTATTTCCTCCTGGACTTTTGCAAAACCTTCGAGGAACTGAGGGAGCACATTTTGACATTTGTCTGGCTCTCTCAATAGAAAAGGTTTTGTTCTATGACTTCCGGAGTTGGTACCCCCTGATGACGTCGGCTTCGGTGGCCATATTTTTAATTTCCATTGCTTTCTTTTTTCTTTATTACTTTAATTACCATATTTAAGTTCAACACCATTAAAATTGCATCTTAGCACGTGAAAATCCGAATACTAGATTAAAAGTTATTCAGCTGTTCCTTTTAAAATTTCGCCCTCTGCTAAAAATTCATCGATAATCATATGAAAAAATATCAAATTCAATTTTAATCATTATTTTAATAAAGTTCACAAACAACAAACGCAACGGAATTTTAATTAAAAGCGACAAAATTTATTATTTGTCAAAAAGGATCAAAATTTTTATTCAAGTTTTCATACTTAACCTTAAGAAAAATAAATTAAAAAAATAATAATAATATTTCATTAAGATATTTGGAAAAGAAAAGTCAAAAGCATTTAAAAATGTTCGTTAAACTGTGTTTGAAAAAGATTAAAATCTATTTTTATACTCTTTGATAATTCTCAAAAGATGCTTTGTATTTATTTCCAAAGAAAAGGAGGTTAAAGTTTGATCATGTAATGATTTACAAAGAAGAATTTATTTGTTTTATTTCTGCTTCATATTTATTAGTTTAAGCTTCCGCTGTTGATTGTATTAGAATTTTCGCAATTTTTTAGAAGTCATGAATACAAATGCAAATACTTATAATAAGATTTGACGCTGCAAAACAAAGATGAAACAAATTTTGAAAACTTAAGATTTGAAATTCTAACGATTTAAAATATGGTAATTTTGAAAAATCTTTTCGAAACAATGCAGTAATTTATGCAAAATAAGATATTTTGATAGAAAAGGGTTGCTTTAGAAACAAAGAATATATTTTATTTATTGAATAAAACATACTTTAGACAATGTTTGTTGAATAAAACATTTAAAAAAAAAAATTTAGAGCATTCTTGAAGTTAAAAATTTCCATACATACGAGAGATAGGAAGTGTAAGAAACAACTTTTAAAAGAAAAACAAATCAATACTTTATTAAAATTTACACACACCGTTATTCTAAAAACTCAAAATCTATATCGTACACAAGAACTGCTGTTGCCAAAACATGGAATACTAAATACTGCTGTTGCCAAAACATGGAATACTAAATATGTAATAAGAATATAATTAATGTTCACGTTCACACTTTTACACTCGACCATCCTGACTTTTGGACGACCTCGTCCCTTCGAAACAACTTATAATCCTTCAAGTGAAGCGGCACACTTTTACACCTCTTTGGTCTACTGTTATCTTGGCTTAAATTTTTATTTGGATCGTCGTTGCATTGATTTGTACTATTGTTGTCGTTTATGGGTTCACAAGCAATGAAGTTTTTCTTACTTCCAGTAATATTGTCCTGG